TTTGGAAAACTGTCGCCTCATTTTGCTTCCTATCCTGCCTAACTCCTTACAATCATTAGTTCTCGAAAAGGAGATTATGACTCTGGACATTATGAAGGTTAGGAAAATAAGATAATATAACCCATCAATTTTACGGGGATTCGCTTAAACCTCACTTTTGAATGCTTGTACTTTTTGAAAATATTGCTTTTGCCTCTGGAAATGGAAAAAAAAGAGGGAGTTACGTCTCGTTGGTAGAAAAGAATCAGTCGATTCATGCGGTAGTACATTTTTCTAAATTTCTAGCAACATTTTGTTAAATTTCTAGGTAAACATTATTTTTGCCTCTAAAAGCAAATGAGCAGAGGGAGCTCGGTCTGCTGGAAGGAAAGACCCAACAAATCCACTCGAAAACACATCTTTCTAACTAGATTTTAATGTAATTCACAGAAACTTGCCGCATTTGTTTTTGGCGACCTCTACTTTGTGAAAAGCGTAGTTTTGCCAATAAAGACAACACAACAGAGGGAGCTTGTCCTACTAAAAGAAAACACTTAGTGTTCATGCGGCAGGATAATTTTGATATGATTCTCTAGGTTTCAGTGCTGAATCTCACAAGAAAGGCTTGAAATTCACTTTGGCCGCTTTTATCTTGCGAAAACCGTACTTTTGCTGTAAAAAGCAAAAAGTCTTGAAGAAAGGAAAGCTTCAAGGACCTTATGCGACAGGCATTTAGGCTAAGGATTTCTCAGCTTCAATACTAAATCAGCAAAAGCTCGCTTGAAATCCACTCTTGAATGCTTCTACTTCGCAGAAGTCTACTTCTGCTCCTAAAAGCAGAGAAAGCACGGCACTACTTTTTGGGGAAGGAATACCCAGAGGCTTTATTCGACAGGACATTTTTGCTAGGATTGTCCAAGAAAAAGCTATGAGCGAACTTTGGTCTTTCTTTGAGAAATGACCGTTTCTTGGCGAGACACATAATAAGGAGAGTATAGGAATGTGCATGATCGCGAAGCTCGATATGTTAGCGGCCGTTGCACAGTTCCTGAGTGTCAGCCTGAGTTTCGGATTGAATCAGCTGTTCTACATAGATGACTGCTGAGGTGATCTTCATGTTCAGGAGCTGTGGTATCTGAGCAGGGTACTTCCAAGAAAAACAGCGTAGATGATTTTAGAGTTACTCACTGTAAAAAGTTTCCTTGAGAGCATAATCTTACTTCTACTACTACGTATTTACGTTGCGCCTTAGATCGCTGAGCAAATGGAAATGATCTTGAAATGAAACCTTATGAGCCTGATCTTGCTTCTATTACTACTTGCATTGCGAAAAAGATCGTTGGAAAAATGGGAATTCGTTCTCTTGCTATTTTTAGTTGTATACAGACAGTTATCAATGTATCTGCCCCAACCCACTTGCTAGCGACCGTAGGGTCGCTAGTCTTTATATTACATACATGCCTAGCAGTGCCAGCACCCTAGTGCAGCTTTACAGCGATTTCATCGCGTTTACGGAATAATAAACGAATTTGAGAACAAGAGGTAAAGGATTCACTCAAAACAGTAAAAAACTCGACTTTTATGGCAATGTTCTATCATAAATTATGTACTTCAGGATATGAGAACCTTCACAAGATAGAGAAAAAAAGGATAGTGAATATCTAAAGCAGCGATATACGCGTCCCTTCTTACTGTTATCCCCACCCCTCTCGAGCGAGAATGTACGAGAATACTGGCCTCAGTTTAATTCCATAGTATATTTCAAAAGTTTTGCTTATGTTTGCATTCGGCGTAAGAGTGCTGACTGCAATCACAAAGTTTCGTACGCATTTAATCGTGGTCAAATCGTACTAAGTTGTAGCTAAAAAGGCCCGAGGTTTGACTCTTTTAGTAAATTTGAATCGATAAAAGGAGGCCGAAACTCTTGAAATTTGTAAGGTTCGCTCTAAAAAATAAAAGAATGCCGTGCAGACCGTGGCTATAATGCCACCCTGAAAAATCACGGTGATCTGCCCGCTTTTCAGTGAAATTGTCTGGAAGGTCGATATTCTTGTGTACAGGGCTCGGCACGAGGTGGCTAGTTAAAATTGCAAAAAACGAAGTCCCCCTTGACTTCGCCACAAAAGTACGATATCCCCCTCGACACGTTAACGAACAAATCAAACATGAAAACAAAAAGAATGAAATAAAATACAAAATCGACAATAAATAGGAAATAAGAACTAGTGACTGTTTGTATTCTCCGGATTGGCGGCATGCTGTGTCCGCCGCGCACCACCGCGAGCTTGGAGCACCTTTGCCACTGCCATCAAGAAAATTTGGAGGGCCATAACTAGGCGGGGAGGAGAGGGTTTGGGGAGGTACAAGCGCTGTTTTGTAGACTATTGGATGTAGATTACTTTTATGTAAAAATTTTGAAAAATTATGTGAAGAGTAGGAATTATATGACTTTGTTTGCGTTAAGCCACCTCAGGTGGCTATCCAGGTGGCTTGAAAGCCATCTAACCTCGAAAAAAGTTTGCCATGCCCTTAGTTCACATAATTTTTTCATAATTTTTCATACATAGTCCCAACTCCCCATTGCCTATCTACACACCTATTTTGGTGCCATTTCATCTTCACCTCGCTGTAAACAAACCCTTTGTTTACTTGCTGGTGGCATGCCGGCAGCGTGCCGGCAGCAGATCGAAAGACAGCGTTATGCTCCTCCGCAAAAACGATATCCCCTTTGCTTTTTTCCCCAAAAACGATATCCAGCTTGCTTTGCAAGCCACCTGTGCCGAGCCCTGCTTGTGTAGAGCGTTATATCATAGACCAGAAGGCTCTCAATTCCATTCGTATCACCCGTAAAAAAGTTAAAAAATTGAGTCTATTGCAAAGGCTGGCCAGTGCTATAAGGCCCTCTCCTATTTTCAAGTATTAGGTTGTAAAGAAAGTTTCCGTACACTTGCGAAATTTTTTTTCAAATCGCTGTAATCGCTTCAAGCAGATTGATTCTTTTTTCAAAGCTACAAACTTTATTACAAGGACAATTTTGCACAACATATACTTGTCTTGCTGGCTTTTTAGCACCTCACTGCGGTCCACCAGCATGCGCAGAAGGGAAAAAGTTCGTCGCCAAAAGTGCTTTTTGTACAAGATAATCTCAGGCACATGGAAGCTGGAGAGCACAAATGCTGTAGTTGTATAGAAGTCTGCTGGGGCTGTCATGGGCACCATTCATGCTTTTGCAGGACCACCTGCAAAAATTCTTCTAGAAAGTTTGAAACGACCATTTTCTGCCACTAAAAATGCATCATTTTTCAAGTAAGTGCCTTTGAAGTCTTCTCTTTTTGCAGAAGGTGGACCAAATCTTTGATTAATGCGATGTTGGGTAATGCATTACACATCTTTGGGACCCATCATCGTGGCGATCCTCGCTGAAGCGACACCAGCTACGAAAAGAGTTGTAGTCAAAGGCAAGTTTGAGAGCTTGTAATTTCTGAGCGCAAATTGCAAAACTCGAATGCAGCTGCGGGACAGAAGTTAATGGACTTCTCAATCAGATCACCCATGATTTAGACGAAATTCTTTGAATTACGCAAAAAAGTGGCCGTCGGGAGAAAAATTGGGATTTTTATGGTTGAAAAGATTTTTATTTTTGATGTGCAGATCAAACACATCTTGCCGATAAAAACCAAAAGCCGTGTTGAAAACTTCAGGCTTCCCTTGACTGAAGTCTGAAGTGTCAAATTCAGACCGGGCGCCGAAAAAATGCGTTTGAAAATGAAATCTCCAAAAGTGCTCTTTACAATCTAATAATACTACATTCTCTACTAAAATTTCTTTGTACAGCACCAATACAAAAACTTGTTTGCATTTAAACTGCTGTCTTTCGAGAAAAGAATTGAACCGCATTTTTGGTTTGAAAATGCACAAGAAGTCACGTTGAAAGGATGTTCATTTGGGGTGCAGTAAGTCACGTTGAAAATACTGCTACAAAACTTTCGAGTGATTTAACTCGTATATTGCTCCAGGAATTTTGGCACCTTCAGGTAATACTACAGGAAATCGATACAGTCAGGTGCAGATTTTGTAAACGCTATCTAAACATTTTCCATATCCAAATTAAAAACAGCAAATTATCCAACACGAAAAAAACATCTCGAAAAAAGTGCTGTTGCGCTAGGTAAATGAAAATCGCAACGACATAATCAAAGAGGTCAAAACAACGCAAGCTCTAAAAAATTCATTGCACGATCAAATGACAATTTCTGATTTTGCAGAGTTTTAAGAATCAAGTCGAAATTGTCAAGTTTTCGACATCTCTATCCGAAGTATCGTGTTTTCTTCACTTTTTTGTGACTTTATACTCCTGTGTGTCATCAAACCATGTTGACTATCAGAAAGATAAAAGCTCTTGATCTATGATTTAGTCAAGCTGTCGAGACCAAAATTAACTTGCAAAACAACGACCTCAAAGTATTGATAGCGTTTAGCGGCTTCTCTGATTTTGATGATTAGTGCAGGCCTTCATGGATACGCAATATATAAGTAGTACATGAGATTCAAAACTCGAATAAAATCACGAGAATGGAAAAACATACATTTGGAGGATGCCAGAGTGTGCTTTGAAAAGACGTCAACCCTGCTAAAGTCAGCGCTGCGGTAAGCTAACTTAGCCGCAGAAGCATTTGTGGATACCGACCGTGGGTTAGCCTACCCACTGGGCTGATGTACATACATTGTATAGGTAACCCACTGATGAATAAGGCCACCGATGCAACCATTCATTCGAAGCGCGATGATGTTACACTGCTGTGAAAATGATGTCATCAGTCTTTTTTGTGCGCATGACAAAGGCAGTTGAGAGTCAGATATGACTAGATTTATTTATTACATATTTTACTGATATCTTGTTCATTGGGTGACATTTATTCTTGAGTAAGTTATTTGCCGAACAAAAGGAGAACGAGTTAGTCAGTGAGCGTCCGGAAAGAAAGGTATAAATTGGAAACCTGAAATTGAGCCTTGCCTTTATAATGAGAATCACAACTCACTTGATTTTTATCTTAATCTCGGTAATCTTCACAGAACAGCATCACTTCTTCGCTCCCATTGTTGGAGAGGGATTGGGCTTTCCTAGCATGGTATGGTAATCAACAGCCATCTCATATCATGACGAAATTATTGCAGGTTTACGATGGACACCACTTTTTTGGTCATGAGCGACTGTTTCATCCAGGTTTTCCACTAGTGGTAAATCCCGCTTCGGCTGATCTCAGAACAATCGCGCAACTTCCTGTCGTAACCCCCTCAGGGGCTAAGCTTGTTGCACCAGCATTTGGTGCTTATCTTCCCGCTGAGCTAGCAAAAAGTGGTGGTGTAAAGCCAAAGCAGATTGTGGGTCCTCCCAGTGCAGGTGGTCGACCAACTGCAAATACTGTCACGACAGACCTTGCAGTCGAGAAATCTATAATGCCAATGTCAGATACAGCTGCAAAGGCTGTGGGTTCTACTGTTCCACTATAGTGCAATTCTAAACATGATTGTATATGACTGTAATCGAGATGTAACTTGCGAGTTAGACTGCCTTTGTGCAAGTCTTTTCAACTATTTTTTTGACTAGAGCTTTGATTTCTACTGAGTTTAGAAATGTATCTCACAATGCGAGTGCTTCAAATTTCAACTTGACTTCAAGACTGTGAAACGTAACTGAGTTTGTGATAATAAAAATATTTTATATTCTGGTGGTTTGCTTGAATCAAATGCGAATGGGTCAGATTGTAACGTAATTTTTATGCCGAAATGCCGTCGGATCTTTCAGTTCTCTCGTCAGAGCCTTACAACTTCCGAAATTTTTTGAGGAGATTGTCGGTTAAGTGCGCATGCAATAGAATCTGTTTTGCTCAAAAAATATAAGAAAGAGTTTATATTGTGGGTGAATCGGAGACACTCAAAGGCTTGTAGTCGTAAAAACGCAGGATCTGCTGAAATCAAATGATTAGCAAACCAATTCATTAGAGCAATTGAACTATTATGTTATGAAAAAATGAAAATAGTTTTTTGACAACGTTGATAAGTAATCTTTGAATGTCGTTTATCTGTTCAATTTATGTACTTCACATACTTGATATTCAAAACTTAAAACGTTTGATACGTTTGGTTTTCGGTACGCTCAATTTTGATAATGCGAGAGAAATAAAATTGTCATGAATGTAATTACAAGCATGTGGTGAGAGCTTCAGCTGAAAAGAACTTGGCCGCGAACACAGGGTTGAGCTTTTCGGGAATGTTGTCAGGATTGACTGCAATATTAGGTCGTTCCGAAAGTGGCGTCGCTTTTTTGAATATACGCCACATCTTATGGAACAAAAATTTGTAAGAGGTGGTAGTAATGATGGATGTGGCATGTTCGATGCAGCAATTTATTCTCTTTTTAATGGTCGCAATTTAATTGCGCAATGTTCAATGATCTCTCGAAAAATCATAAAAATCTGCGATTCATGCTTTTTGCCATGGTCAAGGTTCGGCTATTTTTCAAATTTTTGTACTGATTCCACAAACAAGTACAAGTGATGTACAGATAGAGCAATCTCTACAAGAAACAAAGCATTTTTTCTACTTTCCAAATGTCGTCACAATATATGTACAGATATTTTATTGGGACCACCGAATTTAGCAGGCTTGTCTCAGACACAAATGCATCAGACATCAATAAATCCTCGGTTAAAACCCAAAGCTGGGTTGTTTGACACTAAATCTACAAAGCAAATGAGCATACACGTTGCAGATGGCAACTTTTGAGTCACGGGTACCCTCGGCCGCCTTGGAAAACCCGACTTATGATGATTTTGCCCCGGAATACATTATCAAAAAACAACTGCTGGGGAGGAGAAAAAGCCGCGTCGAATAAGTTGCCTACCGGTTGTTGTTCTGAGGTTTGAGTTGACCCAGTATGGAACTGGATAGCATTGAAAACTTGATTTTAGATATTCTAACAAGAGAAGCTACCTAACTGAGCTCGGCCTTCTGGCAAGGGACGTATATCTTCTAAATCAGCTTCAAACGATGATTCCAAGTATGCTATTCCTAGCTGCCACGCACCACTCCGAAGTGAATTATGGGGTTTTTCCTGAGCAAAATTGGCATGCTCATCGACTCACGGGCATTGCGTCATCATCATCATTTGAGTGCTGATACACCTGCGCTAAGCATTTTTTTAGTGAGAAAAGATTGGATTTGTACTATTTCGGTACCTCAGCACCTTTTTCTTGCAGATTTTTATCTAGAGGCAGTCTTTTCACGTTCAGTAGTATGCCAGTTTTGCGTGGGAAAAAGCCCATAACTCGCTTCTGAATAGTGCATGGCAGTTAAGAGTAGCATATTTGAACTCAGCGTTTGAAGCTGATTAAGAATATATATGACTTTTACCAAAAAGACCGAGCTAAGTTAGATAGCTTTCCTTATAAGAAGCAAGCTTGAGAAGAAAAAATTGTTTTGTGTTTAGGGTTTGTTTTAACTACCCATTACACTTTTTCGGGGAAATGGTAAACAGCATAAAGCATGGGGCGCACATTTTGGTGATTTTGCGAGATCTCGTCGAATATCATGCAATGAAATTACGACCTTGAAAAGAGGTTGAAATCCGCATTTACTGATTCCAAGATCTCTTACAAATCTTTATTTCATTAGATGTAGCGTACATCTGAAAAAGCGACATCACATCCGGAAACACATAATACATAACTTCGTGTGCTAGCTTCATGCCGCTAGGCGCATTGTGAGATAGGTTGAATTACACGGAATATTGAAGGAGAAAGTTTTGGTAATGCGAAAAGATACAAAATTGACTTGAACCTGTTTTAGAGAGTGTAAGTAGGTTCGTAAAGTAAAAATTCAATAGCGTGCCTTTTTCTTGCTAGCATCGTGCGCGAAATCTGCCTCGAAACGGCATTTCGAGGGCGAGGGGGGAAAAGAGGGAGGGGGAGAGAAAGTGGAGACTTATGTAGATACCTAACAGCTCTCATCAACAGAAATAAGATAAGGATTAGCGTTCAAGTATTTTTACAAAACTAAAACCCAACCAAAGAGAGCCACACCGTTGCAGTCGTAATTATAAAGTCCTACAAAGACAATGCTCTTTGATTTTTGCTAGCTTTGCGAATATTCCCACCTATTGCGCGGACCTCTGGAACAGTGTTATATCTTTGAAGTGCACTTCACCAACGCTTTGTAGAAAGCTTAGTTCAAAAAATGGTAGTCAAAGATTGACCTGAGAGCTGGTTTTCAGAGAAAGGAGTGATAGTTGGCGGAGCTGCCTTTGCTTAGCAGTTCTTCAAGAGTATGAAAAAGTGACACAAACACACTTCTGGAAAAGCTCTTAATCTCGTATTCCAAGTTTATTGATAAAGCAACCACAGTCGCTCATATTGTACTTTTTTCAAGAGCTCAGATAACCCGCAATTGCAAAGCCTTCGATACCAGTTCCCTTCTTATCGAGATTCCAAACATTTCGCGCGAACTATAGAGCAGAATATTACGAGGAACAACATTTGCATTCATCCTCATGGGAGGAATCACTCTGTTTTGTTTTGATTGTGATTTTAGCAAGCGTTACAGCAGCTAGACAATTTTCGTTACCATACATTACGATGCTGTTTTTTTTACTTGCACATTGTGACTTCACTTTATCTTTCAACACTCTAAATCAAGCCACAACGCACTTAGTTGGTAAACGAGAATTTTGTAATTAGGATGACGCTCTGTTAGAATCAAAACTCGCCATCTATAGTTGACGTTTAGTTTTTGAAAAAGTGATAATTAGCTCCTCGTTTTTCTCTATCTAACTTCATTGATGTTAAGGGAGCTTTTGATTGGGCTCAAGTTAATTACCAAAGTCTTGATTTGATCTTCGCTTTATCCTATTTGTTTTTTAAATTAATATATGTTATAACAGGCCATTCCGAAAGTTTCTGCAAGTTTTTTCTAGGGGTTTCCATCTCAAATCAAAGGGATCCGGCGAGAAAAAAATTAAGTAAGGATTGCAGAGGTGCAGAATTCTAATGGCTCATCCTTATGACTGAATCAGTAGTGTTCAGTAACTGCATTTTTGTTCAAAGTGTAAACCTTTTTATTTTTATTTTGAGCTTCATGAATACATCTGCAAATTAAGCAAACCTCAGTGTTTCAAACAGTTTTATAGATTTTAAACGAAAATTTCCGACAGAATGCAAAGTTTTTTTCTGCCTAACTCCTCATTTCTATAATATTACATTCGGAGTAAAAATTTCAAAAATGAAAGCTATCATCAATTTCAGCATCTTATCAGTAGATTCAAAATACCGTTCTAGCAAATCGTATGTTCCTAGATCACTCGTTGAGCAGGTCGATTTGAAAAAGCTTTTCATCCTCACGTTGACTTCTCCGATTCATTTGAATATGAACTGGAGAAGAGATCGGAAAAAAGAGCTCTAATCTAGACTTTATGACAAAAACTTTCACATTTTTCCTCATTTGCTTCTGCACAAACATCGAGTCAAACCCCCAGAGCAGCGGCAGAAGAGCTCTTGCTTTGCATAAATTAATGAACAATGTGAGTACTTACAGGGTCCATAGGCGCTCCAGTGTCTTTGAAAAAAAATAGAGTTACTATGAGACAAAGGCATACAAATCATCAATTTTTCGAGACAAGTCAAACCATATAACAATTCTTAAATATTCTGAATTTACATTCCTAATGTAATTGTTACATGTGCACTTATATCTCAGGTTTTTGTAAACCACTCCGTGTCCCGCCTCCAGAACGAATACTCAGCAGGGCCCGGCATGAGTTCATTTCTAAACTATTGCAAACGAAGTCCCCTTTGTTTTCCGCGACATTTTACAAAGTCCCCTTTGACTTTTGGCTCCAGGGCTCGGCACGAGGTGGCTAGTTGAAAATGCAAGAAAAACGGAGTCCCTCTTGACTTTTGCGATTTTTACGAAACCTCCTTTGACCCTAGACCATAGAAAAAACCTCAGAAAACGAAATGTCGCAATTTTTGGCCCTAAAAACAATATCTCCTTCTGGAAAAGGAAAAAAAACGAAGAACTCCTGTTAACTTTCGTCCTAATAATCAAACATTGACCAACAAGTTTTTTGATAGCACGCAGTTAGGGTTTGATTACAAATTGACTGAAAAAGACGAAGTTCAGCCTGCTTCCATACGATCTGCGCCGGGTCCTGTATTAGCCCTTAGAAACCCTGCCCAATGAGCTTTAATCGGTCGAGCTGATTTAGTTTAGCAGCGTTGATATGGATAAAATTCTAAGGCAAACGATTTCAGAAAATTACTTGACGCTGTACCCGCACGTTGTGAATTAATGACATTATTGTATGGGATAACATGTGCTAATCTCAGCTTATCATATTGCTTAATTTGCAGGAGATGCTTACAACAGTAAATTGCAAATACTCAAAGACCCCCCTCGTCAAAATCAGTTCTTTTCTTACTGAAATTTCAAACGCTCTCAATCAAGTTGAAGAATAAAATGCCCCGACGACAACAGTATCATATACCGTTTGGAATAAATCAGAATTATTTTCTGTTTCAGTTAATTTTAGTAAGC